CTCCCGTCTCAGATTCCCAAATCACTGGGATTACAGGCATGAGCCACTATGCCTAGCTACTCTTTTGGCTATTTTAAATAATGTTGCTATGAACATTCACATATAAGTTTTTATTTGGACAAGTGTTTTCAATTATCTCAGACATAAACCAAGAAGTGGTATTGCTGGGTCATATCGTAACTGTTTTAAAAGTTGTTTGTATGTTTGTCTTTATCGAGGTAAAGTTCACATAATATAAAATTAACTATTACCCATTTTATAATGTACAATTTAGTGACTCCTGGTACATTCGCAATGTTGTGGAACTATCTAGTTCCGTCATTTGGCTATTGTGAATAGTGCTGCTGTGAACATTCAGGTACAAGTATTTGTTTGAATACCTCTTTTCAATTATTTTGGGTGTTTACCTAGGAGTGGAATAGCTGGGTCATATAGATATGGTAAGTCTATGTTTAACTTTTGAGGCACTACCACACTGCTTTCTACAGCACTGCACCATTTTGTATTTCCTCCAGCAATGTACGATGGTTCCAACTTCTCCACAATTACCAACATTTGTTATCTTCCGTGTTTTTGATTATGGCCAACCTAGTGGTTTTGAAGTAGTATCTCATTTTTATTTGATTTGCATTTCCCTAATGACTAATTATATTGAGCAGCTATTCATGTGCTTGTTGGCCATCTCTAGATCTTCTTTGTGGAAACGTCTATTCAAATCCTTCACCTATTTTTAAATTGGGTTATTTGTGTCTTTCTTGTTGTGTTAAGAGTTCTTTATATATTCTGTATACTAGACCCTTATCAGTTATGTGATTTGCAAACATTTTCTTCTGTTTCATAGGTCATCTTTTCACTTTCTTTCTTTTTTTCTTTCTTTCTTTTTTTTTTTTTTTTTAAGACAGAGTTTTGCTCTTGTTGCCCAGGCTGCAGTGCAATGGCGTGATTGACAACCTCTGCCTCTTGGGTTCAAGAAATTCTCCTGCCTCAGCCTCCCAAGTAGCTGGGATTACAGGTGCCTGCCACCACGCCTGGCTATCTTTTTACTTTTTTTGATAGTGTCCTTCAATACACCAAACTTTAAAATTTTTATGAAGCCCAATTTATCTTTTGTTGCTCATGCTTTTGGTGTTATACCTAAGCAACCATTGCAAAATCCAAAGTCAGGAAGATTCACCCCTACGTTTTCTTCTAATAGTTTTATAGCTTTATCTCTTACACTTAGGTCATTGATCCATTTTGAGTTAATTTTTTGTATTAGTATGGAGTAATCGTCCAACTTCATTCTATCCAGTTCTCCCAGCACCATTTGCTAAAGAGACTACTATTTCCAATTGACTGGTCCCGGCACCCTTGTCAAAAATCAGTTGGTCACATATATATGGATTTATGTCAAGACTCTCAATTATATTACATTGATTTATATAGCCTTTATCATATTGTGAAACTTTTCTTTTATTTCTACGTTCTTGAATGTTTTTTAATCAAGAAAAGGTGTCAGTTCTCGTCAAAGGCTATCCTCATGGCAATACCACACTGTTTTGATTTAATTTAACTTAATTTAATTTTGTTTTACATACAGGGTCTCCCTCTGTCACCCAGGCTGGAATGCAGTGATGCAGTCAAGGCTTACTGCAGCCTTGAACCTGTCTCTTATACACATCTAGATGTGTATAAGAGACAGCATACAGGGTCTCCCTCTGTCACCCAGGCTGGAATGCAGTGATGCAGTCAAGGCTTACTGCAGCCTTGACCTTTTGGGCTCAAGTGATCCTCCTGCCTCAGCCTCCTGAGTAGCTGGGACTACAGGCGCACGCCACCATGCCCAGCTAATTTTTGTATTTTTAGTAGAGACAGGGTTTCACCATATTGGTCAGGCTGGTCTTGAACTTCTGACCTCGTGATCTGCCCGCCTTGGCCTCCCAAAATGCTGGGATCACAGGCATGAGCCACCATGCCCAGCCCTCAACTTCGTTCTTCTTTTCAACATTGTTTTGGCTATTCAGGGCTCCTTGCAATTCCATAGGAATTTTAGGATTTGGCTTTTCCATTTCTAAAAAAAAAAAAAAGCCATTGGGATTTTGATAGGCATTGTATTGAATCTCTAGATTTGTTGGGAATACTATCATCTGCATGATATTAAGTCTTCCAATTCATGAACAATGAGCACAAGGCTGTTTTTTCATATATTTAAGTTCTCTTTATTTCAGCAGTGTTTTGCAGTTTTCAGGGTATAAGGTTTACACCTCCTTGGTTAAATTTATTTCTTAGTATTTTTATTATTTTTTATGTTATCAGAAGTGGAATTTTAAAAATTACCGGGCCGGGCGCAGTGGCTCACACCTGTAATCCCAGCACTTTGGGAGGCCGAGGTGGGTGGATCACCTAGGGTCAGGAGTTCGAGACCAGCCTAGCCAACATGGTGAAACCCTGTCTCAAACTAAAAATAAAAAATTAGCTGGGTGTGGTGGTGGGTGCCTGTAGTCCCAGCTACTTGGGAGGCTGAGGCAAGAGAATCACTTGAACCCAGGAGGTGGAGGTTGCAGTGATCTGAGATCACACCACTGCACTCCAGCCTGAGCAACAGAGTGAGACTCCATCTCAAAAAAAAAAATTCCTTTTTGGACTGTTCATTTCTAGTGTATGGAAAGTAAGTATTTTAGGCTGGGCACTGTGACTCATGCCTGCAATTCCAGCACTTTGGGAGGCCATGCCAGGAGGATTGCTTGAGCCCAGGAGTTTGAGACCAACCTGGGCAATATAGTGAGACCTCGTCTCTACAAAAAAATAAAAAAATTAGCTGGGCATGATGGTGCATGCCTGCACTCCCATCTACTCAATAGGCTGACATGGGAGGTCTAGACTGCAGTGAACCTTGACTGCATCACTGCATACAAGCCTGGGTGACATAGCTAGACCCTATCAAAAAACAGAAAAAAGAAACATAACTGATTCTTTTTTTTTTTTTTTTAGACGGAGTCTTGCTCTGTCGCCCAGGCTGGAGTGCAGTGGCATGATCTCGGCTCACTGCAACCTCCGCCTTCTGAGTTCAAGCAATTCTCTGCCTCAGCCTCCTGAGTAGGTGAGATTACAGGCGCCTGCCACCATGCCCAGCTAATTTTTTTTTGTATTTTTAGTAGAGACGGGGTTTCACCATCTTGGCCAGGCTGGTATTGAACTCCAGACTTTGTGATCCACCTGCCTCGGCCTCCCAAAGTGCTGGGATTACAGGTATGAGCCACCACACCTGGCTAGACAACTGATTTTTGCGTGTTGATTTTGTATTCTGCAACTTTACTGAATTTGATTATTAGTTCTAATAGTTCTTTTTGGATATGGATTTTTTAGGATGTTCTGTATATAAAATTATATCATTTGCAACTTGAGATAGTTTTATTTCTTCCTTTCCTATTTCAATAATTTTGTTTCTTTTTCTTGACTGATTGTTCTGGCTAGAACTTCTAATACAAGGTTGAATGGCAGTGGTGATAGTAGTCATACTTACATTCTTGATCTGAGGGGAAAGATTTTAGTCTTTCACCATTGCTTGTGATATTGGCTGTCAGTTTTTCTATATATGCCCTTAATCATGTTATGAAATTTCCCTTTTATTCCTATTTTGTTGAGTATTTTTCTCATGAAAGGATGTTAGATATTGTCAAAGGCTTTTCTGCATCAGTTGAAATGATCCTCAGATTTTTTCTACATTCTATTAATGTGGTATATTATATATTGATTTATTTTCATGTTGAACTACCCTTGCATTCCTGGGATAAATCTCAGTTGGTCATGATGTATAAGTCTTCTAATACTCAGTGGATTCCATTGGCTAGTATTTTATTGAGAGCTTTTGTGTCTACATTCAACAGGATATTAGTGTGTAATTTTATTTTCTTGTGTTGTCTTTGGTTTTGGTATTGGGGCAATGTTGGCCTCATAGGATGAGTTAGAAAGTCTTCCTTTTTATTCTATTTTTTGGAGCAGTGTAAGAAGAATTGGTGTTACTTATTCTTCAACTGTTTGCTAGAATTCACCAGTGAAGTCATTTGGTCCTGGGTTTTTCTTTGTTGGGAGGTTTTTGATTACTGATTCAACCTCGCCTTTTTTTTTTTTTTTTTTTTTTTTTTAAATTTTGAGACGGAGTCTTGCTCTGTTGCCCAGGCTGGAATAAAGTGGCATGATCTCAGCTCACTGCAACCTCTGCCTCCCTTGTTCAAGTGATTCTCCTGCCTTAAACTCCCGAGTATCTGGGATTACAGGCATGCACCACCACGACCATCTAATTTTTGTATTTTTTTAGTAGAGTTGGGATTTCACCATATTGGTCAGGCTGGTCTCAAACTCCTGACCTCATGATCCACCTGCCTCGGTCTCCCAAAGTGCTGTGATTACAGGTGTGAGCCACTGTGCCCTGCCTGATTCAGTGTCTTTACCTGGTATAGGTCTATTCAGAATTTCTATTTCTTCTGGAGTCAGTTTTGGTCATTTGTGTGTTTCTAGGAATTTGTTCATTTCATCTAAGTTCTCTAATTTGTTGGTGTATAATTGTGGCATTCTCTTGTAATCATTTTTATTTCTGTAAGGTTGGTAGCAATGTCCTCACTTTCACTTCTAATGTTAGTAATGTGAGTCTTCTGTCTTTCTTAGTCAATCTAGCTAAAAGTTTGTCCATTTTTAAGTTTTTTTAAAAAGAGAAAAGCCTTTTTGGCCAGACAGTGTGGCTCGTGTCTGTAATCCCAGCACTTTGGGAGGCTGAGGTGTGTGGGTAACAAGGTCAGGAGATCGAGACCAGCCTGGTCAACATGGTGAAACCCCATCTCTACTAAAAATACAAAAATTAGCTGGGCATGTTGGCATGGTGGAAATTCTAGCCACTAGGGAGGCTGAGGAAGGAGAATTGCTTGAACCAGGGATTCGGATGTTGCAGTGAGCCAAGATCACACCACTGCAGTCCAGCCTGGTGACACAGCGAGACTCTGACTCAAAAAAAAAAAAAAAAAGAGAGAGAAAAGCCTTTTTAATATGAAACCTATGTATTTGGGAACAAAAATGCAATACACAGTAAGAAACCATATTCTATTAATTATGACATTCTGTAATCTACGAACACAGAAAATTTCGTTATTAAGAAACACCAATAGGAAAAAAACTCTATAAAGTCCTATTCATTTTATTTTGTTAGGGAAAAGGATGTTAATTTGGCTATTGTCACAGTTCCATCATGTCTACTCTCCTTGTAAGTTCAGCTTCATTGCTGTCTAATTCTTGCTTTGCTTCTTCAATTTTCATTTGAGCAAGAGGAGAATTCAGCATTAAGTCTAAATAGGACTCAAACTTTTTCTTCAAAGGTATAGTCTGTTGCTTTAATTTGGCCAGTTTCTCTGACAGTGCTACTAAGGACTGATGAGACAGAGAAGCATCCATGCCTCTGGCTGAAAGTTGCTCCTCTGTAGCCTTGATTCCAAATCTGAATTCCTCTGACTTTGCTTTTAGAAAGTTCATGTTCTGACTACGAGTATCAACTTTGGCCCTTTCTGTGGACAGATGCAACTCTGCTTTCTTGAGATCCTCTTGTAGACATTTTTCAAACATTAAGTTGCAGTTAGATTTTTTTCAAGTTTTTCCAGTTCAATCTTGATTTCTTCACCTTCGGATTTGGTGCGAAAGAGATCAGAGGTCAAATCATTCACTGCAAGGATAAAACTAGCTAGTAAGTCATCCTTTGTTTCAAGGGCCACCACACTGTCAACCAAAGCATTCAGATACCTGGAACCAGTGCTAGAGAAATTGGCAGGGGAAAAATTCACACTATCCATGAGAAGGTCTTGAAGATACTAGGCTTCTGACTTGTATTCACTTGCTTTCTGCTTCAAGTCCTCTATTACCAGGTAGTCATCCCTGTCCCGGACCCTGTTGGGTTCTGAAAGGTGATGTAAAATCTCTGTGGTCCGTGGGTTCACATCATACTGTGGAATGGGATGATCTCCAAATATTTATTTTAACCATGCAGCAACCTGCGTTTCTTTCTCCTCCAGGGGCTCCATAGCTACCACTCCTGCTCATTTAAAACTTTTTTTTCAAGGAGTCAACTTTGGTTTCATTGATTTTCTATTATTTTATATTCTCTTTTTCATTTATCTCTGTTTGGATCGCTATTCTTTTCTTTCTTCTGTTAGTTTTGGGTTTATTTTTCTCTTTTTCTAGTTCCTTGAGGTGTCCAGTTAAATTACTGGTTTCAGAGCTTCCTTTTTCATGTAGGTGTTTATACTTACAAATTTCCCTCTGAGCACTACTTTTGCTTCATCACGTAAGTATTGATATGTTGTGTTTTTGTTTTCATTCTTCTGAAAGTATTTTCTAACTCTCTGTGTGATTTCTCTTCTGACCCATTGGTTGTTTAATTTCTACATAGTTGTGAATTTTCCAGTTTCTCTTCTGTTACTCATTTCTAGTTTATTCCACTATGGCTAGAGAAGATACTTTGTGTGATTTTAATTTTTAAATATGACTGACACTTGCTTTGTGGCCTAGCATATGGTCTACTTTGGAGAATGTTCCACGCACTTCAGAAGAATGTGTATTCTGTTATTTTGGGATTGAGTGTTCTAAACATGTCTCTTAGGTCTGAATTGTTTAGTGTTACTTAAGTCCTCTACTTCCTTTTTGATCATTTGTCTACTTGTTCTACTTAGTACTGAAACTGGGGAAGCTGGGTGCAGTGGCATGCACCTGTAATCCCAGCTACTCAGGAGGCTGAGGCAGGAGGATTGCTTGAGCCTAGGAATTCAAGACCAGCCTGGGCAATAATAGTGAGACCTTTTCTCAAAAAAAGAAAAAGAAAAGAAAAGAAAGTAGAGTATTGAAGTCTCCAACTATTACTGTAGAACTATCTATTTCTCCCTTCATTTCTGTTCACTTTTGCTTCGCATATTTGGTCTTTTGTCAAGTGCATACATGTTTATATTTGTTTTATCTTTTTGATGAGTTGAACCTTTTATGAATATATAATGTACTTCTTTGTCTCTTGTAACAATTTTTGACTTACAGTCTATTTGGTGTGATATTTATATAGCCACTACAGACTCTTTTATATCTTTTTCCATCTTCTTACTTTTAACCTATTTGTGTCTTTGGATCTAAAGTGGGTCTTGGCTGGGCATGGCAGCTCATGCCTGTAATCCCAACACTTTTGGAGGCCAAGGTAGAAGAATCACTTGAGTTCAGAAGTTTGAAACCAGACTAGGCAACATAATAAGATCCCATATCTACAAAAAATAAAAATAACTAGGTATAGTGGCACATACCTGTAGCTGCAGCTACTTGGAGGCTGAGGCAGGAGGATCACTTGAGCCCGGGAGGTTGAGGCTGCAGTGAGCCTTGATCACATTACTCCAGCCTAGGCAACAGGGTGAGACCCTGTCTCTTAAAAAAATAAAGAAAATAAAGTGAGTCTCTTGTAGACAACACATAGATAAATTATGTTTTTTTTTCAATCTATTCTTCCAACCAAAAAAAAAAAGACCTATTCTTCCAAACTTTGTTATTTAATTGGGGAGTTTATTCCATTTACCTTTAAAGTGATCACTGATAACAAATACTTACTCCTGCCATCTTGCTATTTGGCTATATATTTTTGTTTCTTAATTCCTCTAATATTGCCTTTTGTATTTAATTGATTTTTTGCAATGTGCTGTGTTGATTTTCTTTCACATTACCTTTTTGATACTTTTTCCTTTTTTTTTCTTTTCCAATTTCTTTCCTCTGACAGGATACAAGACAAACACTCAGTTTGCCTGAGTTTTAAAAGGATATTTCCTTTACCCCAATTAATGAGCAATAAAGACATAAATCCATTTTAAAAAGTGAACAGGGGGTTTTTCCATATTTTTAAAGGTTATTTTTCTATTGGACAGGCATGGTGGTGCAGGCCTGTGGTCCTAGCTACTCAGGAAGCTGAAGTGGGAGGATCACTGGAACCTGGAAAGTTGAGGCTGCAGTGAGCCGTGATCGTGCCACTATACTCTAGCCTGGCTGACAGAGTGATACCCTGTCTAAAAAAACAAAACAAACAAACAAAAAAACCCCACTTATTTTCCTTGTGGCCATTTTGGAGATTACAATTAATATCTTAAATTTCATTTATTTATTTATTTATTTAGAGACAGAGTCTCGCTCTGTCTCCAGGCTGGAGTGCAGTGGCGTGATCTCAGCTCACTGTAACCTCTGCCTCCCGGGTTCAAGTGAGTCTCCTGCCTCAGCCTCCCGAGTAGCTGGGACTACAGGTGCAGCTAATTTTTGTATTTTTTAGTAGAGATGGGGTTTCACCATGTTGGCCAGGATGGTCCTGATCTCTTGACCTCGTGATCTGCCCACAGCCTCCCAAAGTGCTGGAATTACAGTCGTGAGCCACCGTGTCCGGCTAATATCTTAAATTTAAAACAGTCTCACCAGGCACAATGGTATGCACCTGTAATCCCAGCTACTCGGGAGGCTGAGGCAGGAGGATCTTTTGAACCCAGAAGTTTGAAACCAGCTTGGGCAACATAGTGAGACCTCATCTAAAACAAACAAACAAACAAACAAAAACCATATAGCAATCCAGCTTGAATTAATACCAACTTAGCTTCAATATCTATAAAGATTTTACCCCTATACATCTGCCTCTTTTCCCATTATGTTGCTAATGTCACAAATTACATCTTTATACATTGTGTGCCCATTATCATAGGTTTACAATTATTGTTTTATGCATTTGTTTTTTAAATCCTATGGGCAAAAGAGAGGAGTTACAAACAAAAAATGCAATATTATGGGCTTTTATATTTACACATGTAGTTACCTTATTATTGTTCCTTATTTCTTTATATGGCTTCAAGTTACTATCTAGTGTCCTTTCATTTTGGGTTGATGGACTCTCTTCAGCATTTTTGGTAAGGCAAGTCTACTAATGATGAATTACTTCAGCTTTGATTTATCTGGGAGTGTCATAATTTTGCCTTCATTTTTGAAGGATAGTTTTGCCAGATATATAATTCTTGATTGGCAGGATTTTTTTAAAGCACTTTAAATACCATTGTCTCTTTGTATCTTTTTGGGGATTCGCTCCAGGATCCCCCCGCAGGTATCAACATTCACAGATGTTCAAGTGTCTTATATAAAATGGTGTGGGCCAGGCACAGTGGCTCATGCCTGTAATTCCAGCCTTTGGGAGGCCAAAGCAGAAGGACTGCTTGAACCCAGGAGTTTGAGACCAGGCTGGGCAACATAGTGAGATCTTGTCACTACAAAAAATAAAAATAAAAAAGACTGTAAAAAACAGTAATAATAGCTACTTGAGGGGCTGAAGCGATAGCTTGAGTCCAGGAGGTCAAGGCTTCAGTGAGCCATGATCACACCACTGCACTCCAGCCTGGGTGACAGAGCAAGACCCTATCTAAAAAAATACTGATAAAAATAACTGGGTGTGGTGCTCACACCTGTAATCCCAGCACTTTGGGAGGCCAATGTGGGTGGATCACTTGAGGTCAGGAATTTGAGACCAGTCTGGCCAACATGGTGAAACCCTGTCTCTACTAAAAACACAAAAACTAGGTGGGCACCATGGCTCCCGCCTGTAATCCCAGCACCTTGGGAGGCCAAGGCAGGTGGATCACCTGAGGTCAGGAATTTGAGACCAGCCTGGCCATCATGGTGAAACCCCGTATCTACCAAAAATATAAAAATAAGCTGGGCGTGGTGGTAGGTGCCTGTAATCCCAGCTACTGGGGAGGTCAAGGCAGGAAAATTGCTTGAACCCGGGAGGTGGAGGTTGCAGTGAGCTGAGATCACACCACTGCACTCCAGCCTGGGTGACAGAGCGAGACTCTATCTAAAAAGGAAAACAACAACAACACCACACACAAAAAAACTAATAAAAATAAAAAATAAAATGTTATAGTATTTGCACATAACCTACGTACATCCTCCCACATACTTTAAGTCATCTCTAGATTACTTATAATTCCTAATACAATGTAAATGTTATGTAAATTGTTATACTGTATTGTCTAGGGAATCATGACAAGAAAGAGTCTGTACATGCTCAGTACAGACAAAACCATTTTTCTCCCAAATATTTTTGATTCATGCTTGCTTGAATCCACAGATGCAGAGCCTATGGATATAAAGGGCCAACTTTATGATATCTCCATGATTTCTGGGGATAAATCTGTTTTTAGTCTTATTGAAGATCCATTGCACATAATAAACTGCTTCTCTCTTGCTGTTTTCAAGATTCTCTCTTTATCTTTGTGGGTTTTTTTTTTTTTTTTTCCCGAAGACTGTATTCTTTGTATTCACTGAAGCCTTCATTTTGTTATTTTAGTTGTTAGCCAGTGACCTAACATAGAATTCCTTAAATGCCTGCGACCAAAAAAAAGGTTTTGTTTTGTTTTTTAAAAAGGAAGAAGAAAGAAACAAATAAAAAAGAAACGAAAAGAATAAAGAAGAATATGAAAAAGAAAACAAAGGAAGGAAGGAAGGAAAAAAGAAAAAGAAAAACTTTTCCAGGTCTTTGCAGATTGGCTGTGTGGAGTCACTCCTAAGCTTAGCCAGGCAATTTACAGCTCTGTTTTAGCCTTCACTTCCTGCTTGTGCTGAGCCCAAAGACCAGACAGAGATGAAAGCTTATTGTCTTATTGGGCCTTTTCTGCATATGAGTCCTACCCCGGGTGTGCTTTCTACACTCTCTGGTACACATGGGAACTTTTTGAAGCCCTTATTCTCCCAAAAATATCACTTCCAAACTTTTCCCAGTCTTTCAGGGTGTCAATTGTTTGCCTCAACTGTTATTTTTGCTTCAGGCAGCAGTGCCTTGTTCTTTTGTTCTTCAACAGTTTCCAGGGAACATCCTCTGTGTAGCTGCTCTGCCTTGAGAGAGTTCTGAGACAGGTGAAGCAAAGAGATTTCCCTTTCATCAGTTCTTGGGGGGAAACTCCAGAAAATCAAAAAAGATAAACACGATTCATTGGGAACAAGATCTTCTCTGCTCCCTTCCTAACCAGGA